GTTTCATGTAATGTTATGCTATAGAATCTTCTAGATACTGTGGCTTGTGTAACTGTGGCTAGTGTGACACAGGCTTGTGTTGTATAACTGTAATTTAATAGATGCAAACTTTACTATTTGTGTTAGTAAAAATTTCCTCTTTTGTAAATATTAGATTTTAATTAAAAATTAAAATGAAATTAGTGTAATTTGAAGAGAACCACTAATTTTGAGTTGTTAAAAACGTGGGTAGTATGATCTAAAAATAGTTAGTGTTGCACAGAAAACGTCTATAGGGTTTTTTGTAAAAGAGAACCTTAAAGAAAAAAGAGAAAAACCTAAGGGAGTTTGAGCGTTTTTTAAATGTATTTCTGTCAGTTTTAGGTCTACAAGCTTGAAATTTAGCTTGTTATAACGGTAATGGTAAGCTCTTTAAGTTTTTCTAAGTTCAGGAGGTGTGTTTAGATAGCTGTTTTAAAGTTATTAAGAGAAATGTAGAAAAAGAGGCCAAGTAGCTGTTTTTCGGTGGTTTTAAAAGTTTTGATTTGATATTTGAGTATTATATATATTTTTTAGTTAGGAATAAGTTTATTTAGTAGCGAAACCAAGGTTAACTTAGTAAAAAATAAAGTTATAAAATGTTTTAAAATAATTAAGCTGGAAAAATTTGTATACAAGTGATAGACAAAAAGAGTTTTTTAACAATTCTTCACCAATTTCATCTTGATAACAATATTAATATTTATTATTAATTCTATATAAGTAATGTATAAAAATCAAATAAGCCATGAATATATAGTAATTACTGTAAAAACATAGTATTGACAACAGGAGGGAACATTAATGTTACACAACTGATTTTATACACAGTGTGAAACACATAAAAAATTATTTTACAATACTTGATCGAACTTGATCAGTTAGCTAGTACATGTTACAATTATAATCCAACATCATTTTTTTATAATAAAAAATAATATTGGATTATAATCGTAACATGTATTAGCCAACTAATCAAGTTTGATCAAGCATTGTAAAATAATTTTTTTATATTTCACACCATGTATAAAATTAGTTGTGTAATATTAACATTCCCTCCTGTTGGTATTGATAGCAAATATGTAGTAATAATTGTCGCAGATCATAATGAAATCAGATTAAAATGAAACTGGGGACCTTTCTTGTTCACCTTTAAAGCTTATAAAACCCACTTATACTCTTTTATTAATAAAACTAACTCTAAACCCTAACCCTAACACTAACCCTAACCCTAAAAAATGTCTCCCAAAAAATTTTAAATTTTCCTAAAAAAATAGAAAAATTTCATTTTAATCCGATTTCATTTTAATCTGCCACAATAATTGAGAATATATTGAAATTACTATAAATTATAAAAAATATAGCAAGTGCACTGGAAATTTATATTCTATAACTTTATATTATAAATAAATTGGTTTAAACTACATACTTTAAAATTTTGATAATAATCAAACCATCAAAAAGTTTTATTATTAACATATTTACTATGTACATACTGCTATTATCATATAAAAAATATCTATATATGAATATATATACAGTAAGGTAGATATAGATATTATGGCGCAGCTAACTTTAAATGGTAATATTATGTGATCTAGCGATCAGAATTGAATGATTTCGATACCATTCGATTCGTCTCATCATGACGAATTGAACAATACCAAAATCATTCAATTCTGATTACTAGATCATGAGTTATTGCAAATCAAATTAAATACCAAAAAATTAATAGATTTAGATACATATACCAATTATAGCGCACACGTGATATCACATAATCTAGCAATCAGAATTGAATGATTTCGATACCATTTGATTCGTCTCAATGAGGCGAGTCAAATGATACCAAAATTATTCAATTGCATCACAAGTTATAAACAATCAAAATTATTATCAGCGAATATTTTACTAATCACTGCGCCGATATTTGTACCAAAACTTTGATTGAAGATATCTTGGCAACCAAAATCAATGAAATTTTTTTTATTTGAATTCTAAATAACTATAGAATTCAAATAAAAAAAAGTTCATCAATTTTGGTCATGTGTTTGCAAAGATATCTCCAATCAAAGTTTTTGAAATTTTAAAATGCCTATATTACTTAATAATAACTGTGCCGATATTCATACCAAAACTTTGATTGAAGATATCTTGACAACCACATGACCAAAATCAATGAACTTTTTTTTATTTGAATTCTACATAACCATAGAATTCAAATAAAAAAAAGTTTATCAATTTTGGTCATGTGGTTGCAAAAATATCTTTGATCAAAGTTTTTAAAATTTTAAAACACCTATATTACTTAATAATAACTGTGCCGATATTTATACTAAAACTTTGATTGAAGATATCTTGGCAATTACATAACCAAAATCAATGAACTTTTTTTATTTGAATTATAAATAACCATAGAATTCAAATAAAAAAAAGTTCGTTGATTTTGGTCATGTGGTTGCAAAGATAACTTTGATCAAAGTTTTTAAAATTTTAAAACGTCTATATTACTTAATAATAACTGCACCGATATTCATACCAAAATTTTGATCGAAAATATCTTGGCAACCACATGACAAAAATCGATGAACTTTTTTTTATTTGAATTCTACAGAACCATAGAATTCAAATAAAAAAGGTTCATCGATTTTGGTCATGTGGTTGCAAAGATATCTTCGAACAAAGTTTTTGAAATTTTAAAACACCTATATTACTTAATAATAACTGCACTAATATTTATACCAAACTTTGATCGAAGATATCTTGGCAATCACATGACCAAAATCGATGAATTTTTTTATTTGAATTCTACAGAACCATAGAATTCAAATAAAAAAAAGTTCATTGATTTTGGTTATATGGTTGCAAAGATATCTTCAATCAAAGTTTTTGAAATTTTAAAACGCCTATATTACTTAATAATAACTGCGCCAATATTCATACCAAAACTTTGATCGAAGATATCTTGGCAACCACGTAGCCAAAATTGATGAACTTTTTTTTATTTGGATTCTAAAGAACCATAGAATTCAAATAAAGAAAAGTTCATTGATTTTGGTCATGTGGTTGCAAAGATATCTTCGATCAAAGTTTTTGAAATTTTAAAATGCCTATATCTATAATTTAAAAAATTTGTTTATTTCATTAAAGCAAGGATATCTCGTGATCTATTGATTGGAATTGTATGATTTTGGTACCAATCGATTTGTCTCACCAAAACAGATCGATTGGTACCAAATTGTACAATTCTGATCAACGGGTTATAAGATATCATAACTGCGCCATAATTGGTAGTGTGCCATAATACCCATACCTACCTTAGGTAGCAAAAGTAATGCCTGATTTTTTAGTAAAATGAAAATTTCTAATTTTGGCACTATATATATATATATAATTTTTTTTTATATTTAACTAACACACTATTAAACATACTTAAATATTCAATATTAATGTAATTCTTTGTAGCATTAAGCAATAACCACCTAAAGAATGAACATATTAAGATCTATTTATCCCTTTTTTAAGACAACTTAGAGACCATTCCTGCTTATTTAAAAGGCTTTTAAACTATTAAATATTGTTTTTCAAATAAATTTAAAGTATTTTGATAAGTTTAGATTAACAGGGCTTCACTATTTATATCATAATTCAATTTTTTTAAATTTTAATCTATTTTATAATTTTTTTAATATGATTATGATAATTATTGCAATAAAACTTCAAATTTACTTCAATTAGTAAACGAATCTAAGTATAAAATGAGACAAGATAGTTCTTAAGAACCTTAATATAAAAATTGTTATTGATTTTTTTTATATAATTTTAATTATTTATTATACCCACAATAGACCCTCATACCATTACCCAAACCTAGACACTCCCAAACTTAACACCCAACATTTATCTTTACATTTTTTTTATCACACAACACCATATTCTAACTTGTCAGGTTTATTTGCCTACTTCTTTTTTTGTATTAAATATTACATTTGATTATATTACCATTTGTCAAATATAACCAACCCTTCTACTGCTATTTAAAACTTAACCACAGGGCTAAACAAAACTCTAGTTATGACCAACAAACTGCACTAACCCCAGATTGTTAACAGAGCCGCACAATGCATGTGCTGTTTTTTCAATACTTTTTTTTTGTTAGTGTGCTCTTTTTTTGCTTTCTTAGGGCCAAAAAATGTCTAAATAATAGCAAAATATTTATTTTCTTAGTTCTTTTATATTGGTTAAAAAAACTAGCAACTTGTCATGAGGCTATGACCTAATTTTCATGACACTTACTAGGTGTCATATTTTGGTATAAATGAAGGTAAAATCTTCAATTTTGGTAGATATTAGGTATGTGGCATCTTATGGTAGAAATGCAGCCTTTTTTTTATCTTGTTACTTATTCAGAAGTCAAGGAAAAAGATAAAAAAAAATGGTGCTTTGAAATCATCAGAAGGGGGTAAACACAGCCCATTTGTTTGCTCACGTGCATTGATCTGCAAATCGGGCGTTACTTTTGCCGCCTACTGTACATACACCCTACCCCTTAAATCATATTTACGGATGATCGCGAAATCAAACCCTATTTAATATACGATTTTAGGGTACATATTTTTAGGATTTTTTTTTTAGGTTTGAGCTAAAAAAGTATAGGTGATTTTTATATTTAAAATTAAGGCCACAGATCCCATGATCATCCTATTTCACCATCATCATGTGCATGCTCTTCGTTGTCGTTATTGGCTACAGTAAATCAAATACGTCACGTTATTGAGGATCGTCGATTTTATCCAGAGGATTTGTAACACTTTGACTTTCCTTTTATAGGCATTTTTCGCTAAAAGCGACATGATTGAATGCTTAAAACTCGTAACACAAATTCGAAAGATTCTTGAGAGAGGCAACGGAATTTTTTAAAACTTTTGTGCTTTTTAAAATTCGCACTATGCGTATATTTTCATAAGCTATAAATATAAACCATGATTACTGAAAGTGATTTAAAAGACTTAGGTTTAAATTATTATGATATTAGTCAATTTAAAAATATTAAGAGAATTGGTGGCGGAGCGTTTGCAGATGTGTATCATGCAGAGTTAATAAACTCGAATTTAAAGCATGTTGCATTGAAAATCTTCAGTCAAGTTGAAGTATCTGAGGCTTCTCGAAAAGCTATATTAAAAGAGGTAAAAATGAACATATTTACGTATAGTATGCTTAAGCAATCCAAGTATAATTTTAGAAGCAATTTAATTTATATATTAATATATAATATAAACACATTCAGATTACATCGCATAGAAAAGTGGGTGTACATGATAAGATTTTACAAATTTATGGATTCACTAAAATAAAAAGTTATTTATTGTTACTTTAATTATGTATTTTTCCTTTATTTATAATGCCTGATGCTAATCTAATAATTATAAAAATCAACTATATAGTTAATATATTTGATTCTGAGTTGAGTTATGCATTAGTATTGGAGTTTGCAGAAGGCGGTACACTAAGGAATTATTTACGGAAAAATCCAGATCTCAGTTGGTCCAATAAGTTGCGCCTCGCTTTACAACTTGCTGAAGCTATTATGCATATGCACTCTAAAGATATTGTCCATAGAGATCTTGTAACTAAGAATTTATTGATATTTAGTATTATAATTTAAATGCCTATACTGTATCTAACACTTTTTATTGTCATACAGCACTCAAATAACATACTCGTTCACAAAAATAATATTAAGATTGCTGACTTTGGACTGTCTAGATGTTTAACTGATGCATCAAAAACCAGTACAGTACTTGCTGGCTATGTAGCATACGTTGATCCTCATAGCCTTAGGAATTCTGAACAGAAATTACAAAAAATAAATAAGGAATGTGATATGTACAGCTTAGGTGTGCTTTTATGGGAAATAACTAGTTTACATCCTCCGTTTGAAGGAAAGGATAAAATTGATCTGTATAATCAAATATTACATGGTTGTAGAGAGACACCTATTTTAGGAACCCCACCACAATATTCTGCTTTATATAGTGGTTTGTACATAGTGTATATTTTTGCAGTTTGATCGTTAACCCCCATTTTAATATTGAATAATTGATAATTATATTCCAAAGAATGCTGGCAGGATGATCCAAAAAAACGTCCTACTATTGATAAAGTTGTAGATGAACTTAGGTGAACAGTCTTAGATATTTAAAATATGCAAAAAAATTTAATCGGATCAAGCGACATTTTTAATCACATGTATATCAAACTAACAGAATACAAGGAGCAAGGTATTCGATATTAACACTTTTTATTAAATATTTTTTCTCTTTCTTTCACTTACATATTAAATTTACAGGGAGTAAATATCTGTAGTTTATTTATAAAATAACGTGCACACTTTGTCAATAGAATCTCTGCTAAAGATGTTTCTATTCTTTTCACTACTTTTTAAATCACTAGGAAGTAAGTATATAGTTTGTTTAAGTTCACTATTTTTAATATAATTCTTATTAAATATTACTTCTCTATTCTTTCACTCACATTTAAATTACCAGAAAGTAAGTATATATAGAATAATGTTATCATTTTATTCGCAGTTTATCCTTATTTATCGACTTGACTAAGTCGATTTTAAAATTCGGCTTAGCTGGCTGAGTCAAAGCCGATTAATATGTTTTACCTTCGGAATTTATTTGAGAATTCATTAAAATTTAATCACGACCTTGCTCGTATTTTATGTTCGTTGATTTTCTTTTCGAAATTTTCGGCTCCTACCTTAGCACGAACTATGTACTAAGAAAGGCAATGTATCGAACCTGATTGGTTACTTTAATATAATTTAACATAGAATCGACTGTAGATGCTGGTGAAATATGGCGGAATGTGGTGAAATAATTTCGCCACTATTGGTGAAATTGGTGAAATTAATTTCACCAGCATCTATAGAATCGACTAAGTCGATTTTTTGGAAAATCGGCCGACTAAGCCAGCTATGACGATAAAATCGATTAATGCAAAATCGACTATAAACACTAATTTGCAGGTTAAATGGATTCAAATTGATTATATACACAAGTACATCTGATTTTGAATCCATAAACTTGAGATTGTCAATTGAACTCTTTGTTAATTTCACTTTCATTTTTATGTGTTAAATTACCAGGGAGTAAGTATATTATTATTTAATTTACACATTTATCATTAATTTAATTTTCTATTAAATATTACTTCTCTATTCTTTACTTCGTATTAAATTGCCAGGAAGTAAGTATATAGTTCATTCGTAAACCCTATAAAAAAAATTAAAAAACATATTCAGTTTTTGTTCAGATTATTATCTTTAAAAATGAGCAATTTAAAAGGGTTTAATATAGGCTCTACATGTATTACGAAAAATGCTCATTTTAAAAATAATACTCTGTCTGATTATGATTTTAAACTTTTTTTTATAGGGAAAATAATGGTAAATAATGGTAAATAGAATACACTATTAAATTTTACTTTCTATTTTTTATTTATGTCATAAACTAGTTGGTGAATATACAGTTTATTCATAAAATAATTTACTCATTTTGTCGTTAGATTCCCTATTAAATATAACATCTATGTTCTTTTACTTATGTCTTAAATTAGCAGGGAGTAAGTATATAATTATTCATAAATAGCGTATATATTTACCGTCAATAGAATTCTTTGCTAAAAATTGCTTGTCTATTCTTCCTAAACCCAGAAAAATAGAAACTATTGAAGGTCCAAAAAATGTAATTGTCTATCTTTAACCAATTAACATTAAAATGATCTCATATGTGCTAACGCGACTAAATGAGGAATTTCAGCCGTTCTCGAAAAGTTGTGGAAAGATCAAATCACCATACCATGGATCCATGGATAATTTCTTGTTATCTGGCATGATTTGACGGATACACGTCGTGCATTGCAATTATCCTGTTGATATCCATGATCCGTATATCATGCCAGATAACAAGTTTATCTGGCAGGTATGACTATACATGGGTGTCTAAATTACTCCTCTTAATTAAAAGCTATTTCGACATTTAATCTGTTGAAATTAATTTTCTTAGTGGCGAAATTAAATTTCATAGTTGTCGAAATTTTTAGTGAAATTATTTGAATTCTTATGTCAAACTACATTAGGTAGTATAGTTACTTTGTGGAATTCATATACCGTAAATTCTCGAAATAGCGGGCAGGGGCGTTATTTCGAAAATCGCATGGGTGGTTTCGAAATAACGCCCACGCGCGTCCCGAAATAGAAGAGCAAGTATCAGGGAAATATCGGGATACAAAACTCCCGAGATGCACCTGATTTATTGCTAAATATAGCTCGGTAGTATATCAGAAGTCTTGTATCCGATACTTATTCATTTAACAATCGGATTGCAAAATTAATACTTTATCTCGAAATAACGCCCATGGGCGTATTCAAATAACGCGCACGTAGTCAAAATGGCACGCAGATGCCCGCTATTTCGAGAATTTATGGTAAAAAAAAACAAGTAATGTCGAAATGTTTTCAAAATTGCTATTTTTAAAAAATAATTTAGACACCCATGTATAGGTATGACATATACACTTACGGAAAGGATTTTATATTACTTCCACAGATTTTTATATTAAAATAAATAAGAATTTGTCACATGATTTAATAAAAACTTGCGGAAATAATATGAAATTTTTTCCGTCAATGTTTACACAGTACCTGCTGGATAATCCACAATATTTCTCAAATTTCCAGGCCCGCTCTAATCGGATATTTAATTCTTATTAATCAAAATTTCCAAATTTTTCGACTCCTCACATGTGTATATGTAAATCGTTTTCCACATCTTTTTGAAAACAGCTGTAATTGGAGTTTAACGCTGTTCTTAGATATTTTAGTCAGTAAATAAAAAAAAAAAAAAACTATTATTAATTATTCATTTAATTCAAACTTAGATTTTCAGAAAGAATTATTTTCCATATGAATCGGCCGATGAAATTATGATTAATATCTTTAAACATGTTAAATATCCGCTCAATTTGTCTCTTAGTTGTCGGAAATTTT